GACTCGACGGCACATAACAACAACAACAACAACAACCATCAGCAGTACATGAGAGTTCCAATCCTCTCCAACATTTATTGTTTGGTGTCCTGTCAAACTTGAGCACTGGGATTTTTGAGGGTATTAGTTGTCCAAGTTCTTCCCAATGTTTGTGTTTGGCCCACGCTTCTGTCTGTAAAAAATCTCGTAGGCAAGCAGGATTTTGAACTTCACTTATCATTTTTTTTCCCTCTCTGGGAGTTTCTTTTTTCTCCTCAATTTAATTAGAATAAAAATGCTCCCAATTTGGGATTTCACCTAAATATACAAAAAATAAATTGTGATCAGTGTATCTATCACTCAGACATGACATTGATATACCCTGATCAATTTGTTCAACAGAGCAAAAAGCACTTTCTCTTTGGTTATTTGCTGACGTCAGATGGATCCTGGCTGAAAGCAAAGAATACCAGAAGAATGTCTATTTATGTTTTATTGACATACAAAGGCATTTGACTGTGTGGCCCATAGCAAATTACAATTAACAAGGAGAAGAATAGGAATCCCAGAACAGTTAATTGTGTTTATGCAAAACCTATACTCTGGTCCTCAGAACTGACCAGAAGAATGACAAACAGACAAAAAAAATCTTCCCAGCGGTATCCATTCTGTAGCTTACAAAGGCCTGAGCTGTCTGTGTGTCAGGAGGACAGGTTAACATCTGATCTTAGGGGCAGACTCCCCACAGTGTGACTTCCTAACAATTCACAGCTGCCTGGCAGACAAGTGTGGCCAACTAAAGAAGGTGCTGCACACTCTGGGTGGATCCCAGGGAGACATGCCTTGATTTTAGAGCAGAAGCCTGGCTTGCTGTTCCTTTGGACAGGCAGATGGTATGGTTGTCTGGGCAGTAAGCTCTTCTGCTGGTGTTTCTTCTCCTGTTCATAGCAATCACTGTGCCTGACCGTGGATGGGGAGGAGCAATGAGAGAAGGGATTTTCTTAGTCTGTCTAGCTCATTGTTTATTTATGGATGCTTCTCTGTCTGAAGTTCCCCACTATTGTTCTTTGTTCTCAATTCTGATTCATTCAAGGATGAGCAATAGTTCCCTGCTGTATTCTTTAAACAGCCCCATGTGTGTCAAAGTAGAATTGTGCCCCTCA